TGTGTGTGTGCACATACACGTGTGCCCAGGAGGGCCAGAGTCAGGTGTCTTCTTCACTTTCTTTCCACATTTTAAAACTATGTTTTTCTCTGAGAATTTGATACGATGTATTTTGACCATATTCATCCCCTCCCCAACTCCCCCCAGTTCCTCCCACCTCCCTACCCACCCAAGTTCCCTCATCACCATTCTATATAGACCTTAAAAACTCTATTTTTGGGGGGGGGTCAGCAACTCCTGGGTGTGTGTCCCTCCATGGTAGAAAATTTGCTTTTTCTTTCCAAGCAGCAATCAGGTAACAATCGCTTCTCAGCTGGATGTGGGAGCTTCAGGCTAACCTGCTCTCCTTCCTGCTGGGTTGTGGCTGGCTGGAACATTTGCAGGCCTTGTGTGTTGTTACAGGCCCTGTGGGGTTGATATGTCCTCTGCCCTGATGTCACCCACCCTCTTTGGCTCTCAGGATATTTGTTCCCCTTCTTCCATGTAGATCCCTGGGCATTGTGGGGGAGGGTGTGGTATAAACCTCTGAATTAGGGTTGAGCACACATTTTATCCTCTTTTTCTTTATCTTGTACATGTTTGCCAGTTGTGGGTGCCTGCCGATGGCTAGCCAGCGAAACAAGGAGCTTCTGTCAGGAGAGCTGTGCAGTGCCCTAATCTCTGGGTGTGGCAGTAATCATTAGGAGTCATTTTATTGCTGTGTCCATTTAACAGAATAATGGTAGTAGGTTTTCCCCTAGGCCTCATAGCTCATCTAGCCACAGGCCCTTGTGTTCACTATGACACCTTGTGTCAGCTATGGACTCCCTCTCAGGGAGGAGGCCTTAAAACCCAATCAAAAAGAGAGTATGGGGTTCTGTCCTAAGGGCATAGAAGTAACAGCATAGCGAATCTTGGTCTGTGTGGGAGGATAAACTGAGTACAACCTTCAAGAAAGGTGAAGGAAGTAGGAATTTGAGCATCAGTCATGACCAATATGTAAATGCTTGACTGTGGAAATCAATAAACATTACAAACTCTAAAGCCAAATGCTTGTTTGATAGTAGTTTTCTAAGTAATATTTTTGCCTAAAGGCTCTCTTATGGAAATACTTCTGCTGTAATTGCACAGCTCAATGGTTGAAGAGGACTTGTGCCCAGCTGTTGTGGATCTCTTGGTGTTATGAGCAGTATTTGTTATTGTCTGACCTTTATCATAATCATGCTAGTGAGAGAAAGAAAGAGCTGCGTGTAGCTGGTGTAGTAGAGGGCTTTGTTAGGAACTCCTTCAGATGTCTTGGGTAGAGAGTAGCATCCCACAAGATAATAAGAAGGGGAGCCCAGGTTCCATGAGGTATGAATGAGGGCATTCAAGCACAGGAGGAGACTTAGAGATATGCAAATACTGAAGGCGTGGGAATAGATTATACGTTGCAGAGAAAAAAGCTAAGAGAGTGAGCTTGGGCGATACAATGGTGTCTGTTGTTAGAAGACATGACTGTAATTGTCTGGGATGGCTGAAACCATATGTTTGCATTGCCAAGCACCTACAATAACACGAACTTATGATTGACTCGAATTGTTCCCTTTTCCCCCACGTTGCTTCAAATACTGGGTACAAATGATGAGCTGAGCAGATGTAGATTAGCCTGGTGGGTCCTTGGAGACTGTAGACAGCCTGCCATTAAAGCTCAGCACCCGCTACAGTGAGCTGGACTTCTCAAACAAGCTTGCCTGCCTGCTTCCAGCTGGAGCCTGTGATCGACAGGTGGGAACAGGAGTCTTGAGGTTAATCTTTAAACAAATCATGAATTGTGCCTTTGCCCCATCAGCATCCTAAAGTCTTTCTTTCAGGAATCTGAACTCCATTTCTCCTTAATCCAAGCTTGCAGGTTCTTTACTGCTTGATTGAAGTCCAACTTTATTTCACAGTTTTGTGAATTTGGTCCCATGCTAACCATTGCATAAGGTCCATGGCAATGCATTAAATGGTGGATGCTTTTGACTTGTGGAAAGTAACAGTCTCAGAATCTAGTGCAGGGTTAAATCCTGCAAGGAGCCGTCCCAAGAAGCACTACATGGCCTGTGGCTCTCGATCATTGTTACTTCTCTGTGTCGTTTTAGGGATCTCGTGTCTGTGTATATGATTCTCCCAATTGTTTCCTGGCTGTTATTGCAAAGCCATCTCGCGTGGATGGCCAGATCAAGTAAAGACTTTCACGTGCAGTTATTTGTATGGTTCATCCCTTAGCAAGGTTGTGTGATGATTTGGGGTAAGATTCAGGAGACATGGGACAGGGTAGCAATCTGTTGCAAGGCAGGTCATAAAAAGGCTTTTTAAAAGGCTTCATTGTAGACTTGAAGGGAGTGAGTCAGATCAAGGAGTTGCATGAAGGCACCAAAGTACATGTTGATAGCTGGAAGGGACTTCTTAGCCCTGGAGTACAATGGTGTAAGAAGACTTTGGCCAGATAAAGCAAAGCCAAAGTGGTAGGTACAAGGCAGAACAGTCACGAAGGGTTCTCTGTTAGCCAGGGAGCCCAGGGCTAACTAAAAGTTATATCAGAGAAGCTCCTTTGGATCTGTGTTTTAGAAAAAAGTTTCTCATGACAGAATTGGGACTCGAGCGAGCCCTGTCCTGCTGTCCGTATTCTCTATGACCAAGGGCAGCTTGGCAAAACACAGAACTCGTAGGGTAGACCCGAGCTGAGAGCTTACGATAGGTTCAGTTGCCAGGATCCAGTTATCTGCCATGGCTCTGAGGAGACTTGCTTCTTCCTCCTCCGTTTTCAGCCGCACCAGGCCCTCCTTTGTCTTGTACACGTCAGTACCGAAACCTCAGACAGACTTCCCCCGTCCTTCCGCGTCGGCACCTCCACCAATCCTTCCTTAACCTTGCTGTAGGCTGCTTCACAACAGACGTACACACTGTGTGTGCGGGCACTGGTTTAGTTCCCTGTCCCCCGAGACAACACAAGAATGAAAGGGTTTGTGTGCCAGTTTCTCATCTAAGGGCTCTGCGTCCGTACAGGGCAGGCATTCGGTGTTTCTTGAAGCAATGTGGTCTCTGCCGTCTCCCCCTCGCACATTTTCCTCCTTCTCACCTCCTTGCTTCAGACCCCGCTCCGTCCTTACCCAGGGTCCGGGTCAGATGTCATTTATATGGGAATGTCTCTTCTAAAGCAGCTCGTCATTTTATGGAGCTCCCACAACAGTTTTTGATATAGTGCAATAACATCTTTATGGACAGTCCAGGATAGGACATATTTGTAATTACCCACCAGAGAGACTTTCAGAATGAGGTAGATACACATTATAAATGAAGACTGAACTGGATTGGTTAATTGAGAAATATGATTATTAGCTGTGACTTAAGTTTTATTATATGCACATTACTGGGAGAAATAAAAAGGGAAACAGTTCCCAATTTCTGTTTAATAAGAATGCCTTAAAGAAAGTATTGATTTTTAATCTCTATACCTCTTTACTCTTTTTTTACAGAAATAGTATGAATTCTAATATAGAAAGCCATGTTGTTGAAGAAGTTATTTTCTAGAGAAATATAAAAGCATGCTAAAATTCTGAATTTTCATCCATTTTCTATTTGAAATATTTTTTCTCTGTTTGTATCATTGAAGATATAAATTGCCTAAAGATGCTTTTCAGTCGAATTAGTGCCACGCTACCCAGTCAGTTTCTGCTCTGCACGACCCTGTGACCTCATTGTTATGTCGTCAGCGGCTTCGCCGTGCGGAGCTTATGCCAAGTGTAGAGATGTGATCTAAAATTTTACTTGCTTTTCCAATTTCATTTAATTTCTTTTTAAAATGTGTGTGTGTTTGTGTGTGAGTATGTGAGTGTGAGTGTATATAAGTGTGTGTGTCTTTGAGTACGAATATGAGTCTGTGTGTGTATGTGAGTGTATATAAGTGTGTGTGTTTGAGTCTGTGTGTGAGTCTGTGTCTGAGTCTATGTGTGTGTGTGTGTGTGTGTGTGTGTGTGCATGCGTGAATGCGCAGTCAGACCATGACATGCTTGTGGATATCAGGACAGCATAGGAGAGTCCATTATCTTTTTCCTCGATGTGGATCCTGGAACTTGCAGCCTTGGTGGCGGGCACATCTTCCCACCTGTCATTTGATGTCATCTCTGATTCCTCATGGGTGTCTACTGGTCTATCAACTGACTTTAAGTTGTTGATTTTCACTTTGAAATCTCGGATAAGACCTTTCTGTAAACCTAGGTTCATCTCCAACCTATATCTTTTTTGTTTGTTTGTTTGTTTGTATTTTGTTTTGTTTTTCTCTCAAAGGAACATCATTCTACATGGTCAGGGTCTCCTCGGCCTTTTAATTGAGATGCAAACCATAAAACCTAATCATTATGTAGGCTTAGCCCAGGATGAGAGTAGCAATTGCCTCTAGCATTTGACATGCAGCAAATATGAATACCTGAATTCAGATTTATTCCTGTCTGTATTTAAGGACCATATTACATAGATAGTGGAGCATCTTCAGGTTCCAGAAGGATGGGGGAAGCCGTTTGGAGTGGGATGTGTACAGGAGGCCGCTGGTCCTTCTGCTTCTGGCTTCTCTGCCATCCTCAGAAGCAACGGCGGGCTGCGTCCCTGGACGAGAGCAGAAGTGTGATTTCAGCACACCGCAGTAAAGAACTTCCCCTTGCTTTGGCCATGGCTAACGATTGTTTTCAAGGGGAAAATAAAGCCTAGTAGCCTTGCTCACTGGCGGCTACTACACTGCATATATGTGAAGTGAGTAAGTGCTTTTGTAAGACATATTTAACTTTTTTCCATGATGAGTCGGTGAGCTTTTAATGACACACCAGTGAAGGGTGTCCCCGTTCCCTGTTACTAAGCTATCAAAGGGAGATGTGGGCAAGACCCATGCAAGCTTGAAGTCGATCTTTAAAGTTCGTTCTGTTAGAGCGCTGTCTGAGGAGATGTTGGAATGTAACTTGACATTTTTGGTGTGTGTTCTAAAGGCTCTTGTGACTCTTTTTCAGAGTAAAGCCCGTCCCCGCTGAAGGAATCAAATCCAATCCTTCTAAGCGACACAGAGACCGACTGAACACAGAGTTGGACCGCCTGGCCAGCCTGCTGCCCTTCCCACAAGATGTTATTAATAAGCTCGACAAACTCTCCGTCCTCCGGCTCAGTGTCAGCTACCTAAGGGCCAAGAGCTTCTTTGATGGTAAGACATCAGGGTTGACCCTCCCAGCAATGGCTTGTAAAATACTAACGTTAAGTATGCTTCTCTTAATATTGATGGGTGAAAATGGTTTGTGTCCTAAACAATAGTTAAGTGACAGAGCTAAATTTGTAACTATGGTCAAATTAGCCCTCCTGTCTCATTCACCAGACAGATATAGCCATTTGAATGGTAGGCCGTATCATCCTTTGAACGTCATATATTTAGGGGTTATGCTCAGGTTTCATTTTTACAAAGAAATCACAAGATACTTGAACACCGTGATTGGGGCTGGGCAATGACTTAGTGGATAAGAGAGGATTTGCTGTGCAGACATGAAGATCTGAGTTCAGATTTCCAGTGCCCACCTAGAAGCTAGGAATTGCCTACACCCCTAGCATGGTGGGGACAGAGACAGAGGGTTCTGGGGCTTGCTGGGAGTCACCTCATCTGCAGGTTCAGTGAGAGAGGGAAGAATGCTGGGAACGCTTTGGAGCCACTGCTGCTTAACCTGAGCTTGGGCCGCGGCCCTGTATTCTGACCCTTGGTGTTTGCTCACACACCGTGCTCTGCCACACCAGACGCCCTTCGCTCCTCCCTGACGTGGGCGGCGCCTCTGTCCTTAGACAGTTTTATGTGCAGGCCAGGGACCTCTCTCGACTCTGAGAAAGGAATGTTGGCATGAGTCATTCAATTTCTTGTGCCTTTGTAATGAGGAATGTTGATATGTGTGCATGTAGAAAAAATAATGCTTATGTCTCTGTGTGTGTATATGTGTGAGAAAATATACACATTGTCCCCTGTTTAAAAGTAAGGGGCAGACACCGAAGCTACCTGAATAACTATGACGCCATGTAAGTACTACAGTCCCTATCCTTAAGATATATATATATGCTTAAGATGTATGTATCTTTACACACATGCGTGTTTAGACTGCCTTCTTAGCAATGCTGTTGTGTCCCAGGCATATTAAAAGTATTTTCTCAGCCCTTCATTCATAAGTTGGGGTTTCATTCAGGTCCATTACCTGTTTGAATTATTCCTCATCACCCTTAGTGTTTAACCATCTTGCTGGTTTAACACTTCAGTGTACACGAAATGTAGCTGGAGATTTTGTTAAAAGATACCTTCTAAAGAATGCCTGCCCTGTGCTGGTTCGGTCACTTTAACTAAGGAATCAATATTTGAGCAAATGTGTTACAAAAGTTGTGACATGTCTTAGTTTGGCCTCCACTGTGCCCAGAGCTAGTTTTTAAAAGTTGTTTGCTTTGCCTATGAAAGTAAAAACCCAAATAGACAATTTCAGGAAGACTATAGAGTGGTGTGTGTGTGTGTGTGTGTGTGTGTGTGTGTGTGTGTGTGTGACAGGGTTAATGGTGTGTATTCACTTTGAGCAGTACCTTGAGCTGTTCCATAAAGGAGCACAGAGTTAAATGGAAATTGAGGGGATAAAAATCAGTTAAAACCAAAATGACCACCCATCTTCTCTGGACCATCAGTGGGCCCGCAGTGTGTCAGAGCAGAGCCTAGGACCCACATGCACAGAGCAAACCGGGTGATGTGGCGCTCCGCTCCCGACAGCCCCAAGGGTGCCTGTCCACAGTCGGTCTCACCGTCCCTCTATTAGGAAGCAGTGTAAGGAAGTGAAGGGAAGCTCACAATGAATAACAGGATGCAAACAGGGGGTGTGTAGGTTCCTGCGGAAAGAACAATATAAACGAGTAATCATACAATCTGGCTCAAAAGGAAACTCAAGTTTTACTACAACAATAGATATTTTTCCAAGAAAATACATCTATTTATTGCAGGCTCAAATAATACGGCTTGAATTGATCTTCTTAAACTTGGGAGCCGTGACTAAGCTGTTACTATTCTCTGAAAAGCCCAGCCAAGTGTTAGGTAAACATTAATGTTTATCCAGTCCTAATTAGTTGGAACATCTCAGAAATTAACTTCTTAAGTATTTGGTGCTGCTTAGTCATAGTGTAGGTAGGGTGAAGTTTGAAATAGTTTATTTGAAACTGCTATCTGTTACATCTGATGCAGAAAGGTATTCACAAAGTTCAATGACTATGATCAGTAGGAGTTTAGTTTTGGAGCCTAGGATTTTGGTGGCTGCACCTAGGTCTTGGAATTGACCAATGTTTACAGAAGGTGTTTCTCCTGAATCATGTCTCTTACATGGTTATCAAACAAAAGATACTATGGTTCTTGATGACCAACCTCATTAGGGGGTAGCAATTAGTATTTAGTTAGTTAGTTACTTAGTTACTTAGTTGGTTAGTTTTTATAAAGCAGGGTTTCTCTACGTAGCTCTGGCTGTCCTGGAATTCACTCCGTAGACCAGGCTGGCCTCTAAAACTCAGAGATCTGCCTGCCTCTGCCTCCTGAGTGCTGATGAAAGGTGTGTACACTGCCACTCCCAGCTAACAATTGATTTTTAAGAAGAATAATATTGGCATTTAAATTTTGAATGACATTTTTTACTAAATATTGAAATTTTCAGGGTGTAATTTATTCAAATTGGTCTACATTTAGACATTGTCTTATGGCCACTATTTACGTGATGAAACTACATGACCAAGACAACTTATAAAAGAAGACATTTAACTGGGAGATTGCTTACAGTTTCAGGGGTGAGTCCATGATCAACATGGCAGAAGGCAGGCAGCCATGGCAGAGCGCTAACACCTGGTCCACAAGTTGCAGACAGAGAAAGCAAGAGGACCTGGTGTGGGCTTTTGAAACCTACAAGCCCACCTTCAGTGGCACACCTGCTCCAAAAGGCCATGCCTCCTGATCCTTCCCTAACAGTTCCACTAACTGAGAACTAAGCATTCAGATATATGAACCTATGGGTCCATTCTCATTCAAACCCTCTCGTTCTGCTCCCTAACCCCATAAGCCTGTGGCCATGCCATAATCCAAAATGCATTCAGTCCAACTTCAAAAGTCCCCATAGTATTTCACAATCTCAGCACTATTTAAAAGTCCAAAGTCTCTTCTGAGACTCAAGCTAATATTTGAACCGTAACCCCCTGTAAAATTAAAACAAAAAGGCAGATCACATATGGTGGCATAGATTATAATATAATCACTTTCTTCTTACTGTTTGGAAATGTAAATACACCCATTCGCACAATAATAGATTTTGGAGAACTCCTTGTTGTGATTGCATATGCCTAGGAACCTTTAGGGACCCGGTGTTAATGTCACCTAAGAGCTCCCATGTTGAAGAGGTGCGGCCCTTTAGCTCAGGAGGGAATTGGCTGATGAGCTCTTTACAGTCTCTCAGGGGAGTAGGTGGTCATTGCTTGTCCATGTTTTAAATGGCTCGTGGCTCAGGTCTAGATGCTCCCAGGGAAGAGAGCTGTTGCTTGTTTGGGGCAGGGGGGGGGGCATGAGCCATGGATAGTGTGTTCATGGATCCACCCCGTGTGTCAGTTTCAAAGTGAAGTTGTCGGAGTTATCTCGGAATGTCCATACTAGTAAATGTACGTGCTAAGCCTGTGGTCATCTTAGAAAACATGAGACCCTAGAGGATTTACAAACTGTCCCCTCATTCCGATATTCTGTCATTGGTCTTCAGAGAGAGGCATGTGGTTTGCCGTGTTGCCTGGGAACTGTTAATGCACACAGTGGAGTGTGTGAACTGTAGGAGGAGCAGGACGCCCATCACCTGCCCACAGGGAGCAGGCTGCTGGGATTTTCACCCAGGCTTCACTGCCTCGAGTCTGGGAACTCCGAGAAAGTCTCTTCATCTTGTGTCTTAGTTCCATATCATCTTAAACAAACAATATTACCCTCATAAGGTTGTTAGGGAAATTAAATGGGTCATCATAGTGCCGGGCATAGATTATCCCCAAGATCATGCGTCATTATTTGGTAATTAGAGCCACTCAAATGGTAGGAAGCATTGCTTTCTTCCCTTGATTTCTTAAGTTAGGCAACATGAACATGAGAAGAAAGAGTGTTAATATAGAGCCTAGCTGTTTAGAAAGAGGCAATAGTTAGGAGACTAAAACTTCATGGGGAAATGTCATGAAAGGTTGAAACAGCTTAGCCTGGCTTGGAAGTGTGGGCATAACCTAAGCTTTCTGGAGCAGCAGAGAAGGGTTTGCGGGGGACCTTGGGAAGGGAGTGTACACACTGTCTCTAAACTCGTGTTTGTGCAGTGTTGGCTTTAGTCCTTCACTGGGGGCTAAACAACAGAAATATCTCTGCTCTGTTTGGAGTAGAACCCTCCAGTGACCGTTCCCAGGAATCTGTTCACCGTACATATCAAGTATTGTGCTTCCAACATATAAAACTCCAAGACTTAGGCCTTGCGAAGAGCCTGCTCATAGTCTTAGCCTCGCCACACTTTCTGTAAGGCCTTGAAAAGCTGTTCTGATGCCTGATTCCTATTGACATTCTCTTCTGGTTCTTTATTTCTGTAGCTTGTACATCGTCCTTAAAGACTGGCTAAGTCTGGTTACCTTCGTGGCCAACCTCAACACAAGCCCACCAACAGGTGGTACATTACCGAGACAAACCCTTAGGGTCCTTCTTCACTGCTCGGGTGATTCGGGTGACTTTAGTTGGCACCCACATGAATTCTGTTGACTACAAAATTAACGTGAAGAGACTCCAGATGATATTTGAGGTCTTTCTGTCTGGCACTGTATCTGCCGGTTTTGGGCTGCTTATTTCGTGGGAATGTGGGGTTTGGGTGTGGCTTTGACCCCATCTTTTCAATGGTGGGTCTTTCTCGGTAAAATTCCTAACTTGTTCATTCCGTGGAAACTCTTGGCAAAGTAGTGGAGCCCTGATTCCTCTTCGGCATTGGGGGGCAACCGGGGCTTCGCAGTGGAGTTTCCCACTGAAGTAAGCAGCCGCAGCAGCTGCTAATGCCCAGGCCAGAAGGAGGAAAAGGCCGTGGTCTGCTCTATGTTTCAGTGAGAAGCATTTAGGCATTTCCTTTTCATCTTGATTAACAGTCAGCTCTCTTTACCTTACACTATTTTTTGGCCCGAGGAAGTCTGTTCTCTGGCCTTTGGGAATTTTTATACACAGAGGCCAACCCCTGGCCTCTTCTCACAGAGAGATCTTTCAGCTTCTGCAAAGGCAAATGGCAGCTTGGCCTCCAATCCCAGGCGCAACACACACGCTGATGATTTACCAGGAAGTACAAACGTGAGAACGGTTCACGCCATGCTTTGCTTCTAAGAAAGCTTTCCCTGAGCGGTGGGACCTAAAAATCTAACAAAGCAATTCCCGAGGCCTGCTGAGTCAGCACTTAAACACCACAGGTTAGAAAGGGATCAGGGGAGGTAGGAACACAGGTGTTTAGGAGAGTATTCTTTCTAATAAGGCAGTCCTTAAAGTCTTGCAAACACCCCGACTAGAGCGACTGTTTATTAGAGTGTCGCTCTGCTCTGCGGTGCCCTCCTGTACACCAGCGTTACTCTTCGACACAGCGTCACACCTTTGCAGGATGGACGTTTTCCTTTGTAACCGCCCTTTTACATATTAGTTACCGCAGGCTCGAGAGCTGGTAGGGTTAGTAAGTGGAAGAGCTAAGGCTTGCATCTGCCTGGGCCAGGGACATCAGCCATGTGTTTCCACAGGAGACAACGGTGCACCCTGAAAAGCTGAAGTCACAGTGGTTCTGTCGGGTTGTATCACCTCTCAGGACCCTGCACACGGTGTTTCATATCCTCTCTTTGACGGTTTTTATTATAGTCTTTTAATATGACATGTTTAATACATGCCGTTTGTGCCCTTACTTCTTCCTCTTTTATCCCCCTACAGTGGCGTTAAAATCCTCCCCTGCCGACCGGAATGGAGGCCAGGATCAGTGCAGAGCAGAAGTCAGAGATGGGCTGCTCCTGCAGGAAGGAGAGTTCTTACTACAGGTAATTCTTGTCACACAGTCCCTTCCGGTAGCACAGTAGGGCGGCCTCTGTGGGTGGTCCTTTGGAGAGTCCCTGTGCCTCTCATGGGAACTGTAGCTGGGTATTGGGTTAATCATAATAGTAATACATGTGGTAGTGGCACAGGCTGAGGGAGAGAGGGACACGGAGGAGCTAGAGCCAATAGAAATAAGGAGAACACACGAGGTAATGCGTTTAAATGTGAAAATACAGTTCGATTAAGCTGCTAATTAATGTATGTGTTTTATAGCCGAGAATTATATTTAATTTTTTGAGTGTTACATTTTACATGCATTGTGCTTTCCAGTAGAAGTTTTCAATTCTTTATAAGTCTTTGAAAGCGTCTAAATTTCAATCAGTGCTGGAGGCATTTCTGCTGGAAGCCGTGTTGTCTTCTGTCTAGGTTTCTTCACTTAGAAATCCAATAAGGAGACCCGTCCCGTGATCCCGTCCCATCCCGTCATCCCATCCCGTCATCCCGTCCCGTCATCCCGTCCCGTCATCCCGTCCCGTCATCCCGTCCCGTCATCCTGTCCCGTCATCCCATCCCATCCCGCACCCCTCACCCCCGACAGCTGTCCTCCCTAAAGAAGAAAGGCATTAATTATAGTGAATGTGTGCTCTGCCATTCATTTCCTCAAACGTTAGATGCAATGCCTTTAAAAGAAGAAATCTGGAGCATAAGGGAAACAGAAAACCTGGTATCTTATTCGCATACGTGGTTGGACTTTAAATTTAGTATGTTTCCCTCAGCCAAGTCCGAGGCGTGGGTAGGTTTGCCTCAGTCCACATGTGTGCCTGCGTTTGGGGAGTCATTTTGAGACTGTTCGTGATGAAGAGAAGCGGTAGTTACCTAGCAGTTGGCACTTCCCAGTGACGGTCTCCCACCTTTCCTTCTGCAGGCGCTGAATGGCTTTGTCCTGGTTGTCACAGCAGACGCCTTGGTCTTCTACGCTTCCTCTACTATCCAAGACTACCTGGGCTTCCAGCAAGTAAATACACTTCTCTTTCATCATTTAGGATGGTTGTTGTTAGAAAATGAGCCTTATACTGTCTTGTCTATTTTAAAATGTAAGCTCAAAGTTGGCCATTTATACATAGAAAGTCTTGACTAAAATGTGTGCTCTTACCAGAATTTAAAATATGTTTTAGGCTGTTGCATTTTTTCAGTATTGGTAATGTGTAGCACTGATGCTTTCCTTTGTTTCATGGTTATTATGTTTCTTTTGCATCCATTAATGATATCATATATACACATACATGAAACTTTCAGGACCCTGCTGATGAAGGTCTGTGTTACATAGTATCTGCTATGCTGGGTTCAATCCTTAGCATGGCAGGAGGGGGGCAGAGAAAGAAACTTTAAGGCAGATCGGGTTTTGAAGCAGACAGAAAATTTGCCATTAGATTTACGCATGGGCTACAGCATAAAACAGTTGCAGAATTAATGAGACACATGAGAAGGCCCGTGTGAAAGATTGCGGCCTATACTGCTAGTTCTGGTGCATCTGGAGTATGAGCATTAACCCGGAAAGTGTCTCGAGGCTGAGCTGAAGTATGAAGAGCGCACAGATGGTTGATGAGGACACAGGGGAAGGTAGAGGGCCGTCAGCAGCAGACAAGACATCCGGGGAGGGGGAGTGTCTGCTGTGTGTCGGCATCCTTGAAGGGATGGTGTGCTGTGGGCAGCAGTAGAAAACCAGCGGACCGTGCGCTGGTACAATTGTGAGACACTGTAGAAAGCCAGCGGACCGTGCGCTGGTACTATTGTGTGTTTCTGTAGAAAGCCAGCGGACCGTGCGCTGGTACAATTGTGAGATTCTGTAGAAAGCCAGCGGACCGTGCGCTGGTACAATTGTGAGACACTGTAGAAAGCCAGCGGACCGTGCGCTGGTACAATTGTGAGATGCTGTAGGAAATCAGCAGGACCCTGCGCTGGTACAATTGTGAGACGTTGGTGTGTGAGAGGGACTGGAACACCTGGTCTGATCTGGGAACAGACCCAAGTGAGCACACTTGGATGCTTGCTCCTCCTCTCACAAATCTGGCTCTCACACTGTAATGCCAGAGGCGTCACCTGAAACACTTGATACGATCTCTGGGCTCTATTCCCAGATATTCCATTTCAGTAGGTCATAGTGTGGCCCATGACTTTGCATGTCTGCCAGTCACACAAGGTTGCTGGTCTACGTACCACAGACTGTTTTAACACGTATATGGACTGTAGTTTATTATATATGTAATATATAACATTTAGAAAAATATATATGCATATTATCAAAGGGATGGAACCTGGCCACTGTTAAACAGGGTTTAAGCAGTGTATTGTCTGTAGAAAGCCTATTGGAAACATAATGGATCACTTAAGGTTTTGATAATGATGCCATGGTTTCTATCAGTTAAAAAAGCTCAAGTAAAAGAAATCCGGATGACTTTAAATCCAAGCACTTGGGAGCAGAGGCAGGCGGATCTCTGTGAGTTCAAGCCCAGCCGGCTCTACCTAGTGAGTTCCAGAACATCCATGCTGTATAGTGAGACTCTGTCTCGAAGTCAAACCAAACAAAAGTGGAAAAGTAACTGAGCCATGCGCTATGTTCCCACTTACTTCTCTCATTCGTATGCGTACTTTGTACATTCTTTATGCGTGGGATTAAGATTTCAGTTTTGAAAACGGCAAGTTGCGACATATTCGTGGGAAATGATTCAGGTGATATAGTGGATAAAGGATCAAACTTTCTACTTCAGTGCTTAACCTGCAGTAGTAAAATGATAATTTTGGGTATCGTCCCAAATAAAGAGGCTACATGGGACTTTCCTGCACGTATATGTTTGCGTGGAATGGGGAGAAAATGTGCTATGTGCTCTGAGTTTCAGGGGAAAAGAAAAAAAGAAAAACAAATTCTACCGAAGACTTAAGAATTCAGCATTGCAGTCAAGGCTGAGAGGCATGGGGAGGAGGGATGGGGCGGGTACCATAAAGGCTTTATCTCTTGCTGTGGAGTCTGAAGTCTCTTTGAAAAGAAAGTCCCTATAAAGAAAACACACATGAAACTGAAGGAGATCCAAATGAGATGCCGTTGAGGTTAGAGACGGCAGAATAAGATGCCGGTAGGGGATTCGCGGGTCAGAGGGTCTAGAGCAGTGGTCCTTAGGCTTCTCAGTGCTGTGGCCCTTTAATACAGTTCCTCTATTGTGGTGACCCCAACCACAAAATTGTCTTGTTGCTACTTCATAACTTTAGTTTGGTGCTGTTATGAGTTGTAATGTCGATATCCGGTATGGTCTTGAGAACCACTGGTCTGTCGTGGCATCAGCTGGTGTGAAGTGGACAAGGACTATGACCAGTCCTTAATATGGCACATCAGAGGAGCAGAAAGATGCCTTGTGAACCAGAGTGTTCATGTCGGGAAGTGATGGCCGCTAACTCGTTCAGTCAGTTACAGCGCTGGTCTAGTTTTCCTACCGCAAATGACTGGGATTCCGCAGGCCGTCATCTGCGTTGAGTTCACCGTCGCTATCCCATGCCCACTGATATTGATGTGTTTTGAAACCGCTTTGCTAAAGTTGATCATTTCTTATCACTGCTTTATTTCCTCTCGCTCCTTTTCCTTAGTCTGACGTCATCCATCAGAGTGTCTATGAGCTCATCCACACAGAAGACCGAGCCGAGTTCCAGCGCCAGCTGCACTGGGGTCTAAACCCCACACAGTGCACAGACTCCGCACAGGCAGCAGATGGTAAGGAGGTTTACCAGAAGGCCACGGTGATGCTTTCGGAATATTCTGTGGAAGGGGGCTGAGAAGTCCGGGGGGCATGGAGCTCCATGCTGAAGACAGGGCACGAGTCAGGTGGTGTTTAGTCTCTGGCCTCAGATAGAGCCGGACTGTGAGAGCTGAGGAAAGTTCAGCAGATGAGAGCCATGAAGGACACCATACATCAGAGGAGTGGCACTGTCAACCATGTGAATATATACGTGTCTGTGCCCACTGGTGGGTACATGTGTTGAGGCCAAAGGTCACCAACCTTGGGTGTCATTCTTTGCCCACCCTCCATCTTACTTTTTTTAAATAACACCTTTCATTGGCTTGGAGATCCCCCAAGAAGTCTGGGCTGATGAGAGCCACAGGGATCCTGCTGTCTGCACCTCCCAACCCTGGGATTGCAAGCATGAGCCTGCATCCTTGGCTTTTCTTGATACGGGTTCTAGGGATCAAACTCAATGTCGTGTCTACATGGTAAGCGCTTAGCCAGCTGAGCTAGGGCCCACGCCCAAAGCAGCGCTGTGTTTTATAGAATTGCTCGTGGCGCCACTGTGAAAGACGGGAGGAGTGTACAGGGTAGCAACTGCACAGTGCAGCCGCTGATAGCAAAACGTACCCACAGATACGTACAGTAGCATGTGCAAGAATCAAAAGGCTTTTCCTGGCGTAAGCATTGTTTCCAGTGAAGCTGCTAAGACAAGAAAACTACAGCTAGAAACACAGACATAGTTGGCAGCAGCGGCTCAGAGGTACAAGCAACAGATGTCAAGTTCTACAGCACAGATTTGCTAATAAGCTTGGGCTTAATTTTGGATTAATTTTGAAATGGTATTTTAAATTCCGAATGCAGGCTCCAGTTTAAACTATGCAAAGCCTCAGTTTCTACAGAAAATGGGAGTAGCCTGCTGTTTTGTTTTCACAGATGCTCATGGCCTCCCACAGCCGCCTGCAGTCTACTTCAGCCCGGACCAGCTTCCTCCAGAGAACGCGTCTTTCCTGGAGCGGTGCTTCATATGCCGGCTGCGGTGTCTGCTGGACAATTCGTCTGGCTTTCTGGTATGGTGGAAAAATCTTAAAATCCCAGCTCTTGAAGTGACTAAATGTGATAAAAGAAATAGCCTGGAGAAATTAACATTTCAGGGCTAATAAGACGGCTCAGTTGGTAAAATGTTTGCCTTGCAAGAATGGGGACCTGATTTGGACCCCAGGGACCCATGTAAAAGCCTGGTGTGGTGATCTGCACCTATAACTCAGTAGATGAAGGGAGAAAACTGGAGAATCATGGAAGGTTATACCCAGCACCACAGACACGCACTCACACACACGTACACAAAAATGAGTATCTCGGGGTTTGGGAGTCTTCCACAGCTCGTAAAAGCCTATCATTTAAGCTGAAGTTGTAGATATTCAGTGTCGTAGCATGGCTCCTGTACTTTGAGTATTCTGAAAGAATGTTTAAGTCTAAGAATTAGCGACCGTTCTTCAGTAGGAGGCCTGGCACTTGGGAGTTGTATGCTGTGCATACAGGAAAAGCATGATGTGTCTGTCTGGGATAAGTGCAAATACAGTGCCACTATTTGTGGCTACAGGGTTAACGTCTGACGGGAGTGCTGTGGCAAGAGGTGACCCTGGGGAGTCACAGGCCAAGAGGGGCTGCATCTTAAGCCGCACCAAGCAGTGCGTTTTGTTAGTGTTATGTTTTACAGTTGTTTTGTTGGCCTGGTATTCAAGCTGTGTATTGAGGTGTCTTTCCTAGAACCGCTGTCTAAGATCGACTAGCAGAGTTAGGTCGGATTTCTGTGTGCAAAGAGTTTCTTCTACTTTGTGCTGTATCAGGTGCGCATCAGAGTCCCACAGGCTCTGAGATCAGCTAAGTTTATCACAGCCATGTTTAAATTTTCATTTGTCTCCTAAAATCACCCTTTATCTTGGATCCCTGCATTCCTTATATAGTTTTATAAGGTTCCTTTTACTGTTTTAATGAAGTTGTATGTTTTTCTCAGGAAAGATTATGGCATTCTGTGTCATATAGGTCACACGTGTTTGAAAGTTAATACAGTGACTTAACTGCCACTCTTTCCTTGAAGATGTGTATTGAGTGTCTGGTGTGCAAAGGGCCAGCCGTGGAGGGTGGAAATGGCCAGGTGGTTTGGGGCACAGAAAGGATAGGGCTCTCCTGCCATGATGCTAGGGGCAAGGAACTGTCCTCCAGTCCCGAGAACCCCAGGAGAGCCAGGATGGCAACTCTGGAAATGAAACTGTGACACTCTGTTTCTTTTACTGACTTTCCCTAGGCCATGAATTTCCAAGGGAGGCTTAAGTACCTGCACGGACAGAACAAGAAAGGAAAGGACGGGGCACTGCTCCCCCCTCAGCTGGCCTTGTTCGCAATCGCCACCCCGCTTCAGCCACCGTCCATCCTGGAAATTCGAACCAAAAACTTCATCTTCAGGACCAAACACAAACTAGACTTCACACCTATTGGTTGTGATGCCAAGTAAGGGAGCCTTTCACTCCCATTTCACTAAACATGTGCTTGATGTATTGTGTGGGATGTTTGCCTTAGGATGTGATATTGTTCACTGCTATATTAGCAATTAATCATTCTGTTTCAGTATTGCCTACTAAAATAAGGTAATTTTATCAGTCTGACAAACAATCTTATTTTATATTATTTACCATACTTGTAAGAATTATTCTTAAGATATTGGTTAATTTTACGTTTTATAAAAATATTATTTATTTTTTAGCTTTAGAAATTAAATAAGTATCAAAGTTAATTAGTTAACAATAATTTATACCAAAGCATTTTAGTTTTTTTCTCCTTTCATATGGGAGCATGCAGTGACGTGACTTAGGCCTTGTCTCTGAACTCACTCTGAGTACTACATGTTTTAGAATTTGTTTTATTTTATCGTCGACTCTCTCCGTTCATTTTTGGCCGTCCTAATTTTAATGACCTTACTCAAAAGAAGAAAACAGGCTAACTCTGAGACTTCACAGCCAGAAGTAAGAAAATAAAAAAGATTAAAATTCAAAGGGATGTTTCCTATGTTTTAATAAGAAAACTTTGGAAGTCCCCTGCAGTGTTTGTAGAAATAGTGAACACCCCGTGAACGTGTGGCGGTTCTCTTACAACGTGATACTTTTCTGAAACAGAGGGCAGCTCATCCTGGGCTACACGGAGGTAGAGCTGTGCACCAGAGGCTCGGGCTATCAGTTCGTCCACGCTGCCGACATGCTCTACTGCGCAGATTCCCACATCCGCAGTGAGTACTAGACCGTGTTAGCTTGTTAAAATGTTTCCTGTTTCGTGTTTGTGTGTGTGTGTGTGTGTACGCACGCGCACACGTGCATGAGGTGAGCAGGGATAACTTGTAGGAGTCATTCTTTGCGCGTGTGTGTGTGTGTGTGTGTGTGCGCGCGCGTGCACGCGTGCTCGTGAGGTGGGCAAGGACAACTTGTAGGAGTCATTCTCTGCCACTTTGTAGATCCCTAGGCCCAAGCTCAAATAGTCAGGCTTGGTGGCAAGCGCTCTACCCACTGAGGCACCCCCAGCCCTCATACGGGCGGGTTTCAGTTGTTATGAATGACAACTTCCTCACAGAACTGTTAGGATTCCTCCTGGGTGGCATCCTGTCATGTTGGTTAACCAGCTCTACCTTTTACTTCCTAAATCCTTCACAGCTGTCATGCAGTAACATAGCGTCATAATGATTATGAAAATAACTATTTGGCAATGAAGCTTTGCTCAGAAAATCTTTAATGGCACCATTGACTCATACATATATGTTAATATAAAGTCAGAAAACACTGAACATATTGCTCCCTGAGCCTGAAAAGTTGTAATCTTTACTTTTCTCCCAAGTGAAGCTCTTCTTGTGTGTTTACTAAAACCGTCTGGCCTACTCTTGGCATTACCCTTTTTCCCTTGCCCATGCTAAGCTTCACCTGAAATGGGAAAGCACAGCTCTGGAGAAGTGTTTCTGTGCTTCTCAAAATGTTTACTGTGTTAAAATGTTTTCAAGATATTATCATCATTGCTAGTTAAAGAAATAGGTCAGCATGGCTTTTTAAATTTTTTGCTTTATGTTTAAATTGTGTGTTTGCTGTGTGGGAGTATGTGCACATGGGTGTAGATGAACTCAGATGCCAGAAGAGGGCGCCAGTGAGGCCGCTGGAGACCAAATTCAAGTTCTCTGCAATAGCAGCAAGTGCCCTTAACCAATGAGCCATTTCTTCAGCCCTGAAGAGGGGCTTTGTGGCGGGGGTTTTCTGTACTATACTGATATAGGGCTTAACTTTGTTTTAAATGCCTACTTTTAGTGATTAAGACTGGAGAAAGCGGCATGACAGTGTTCAGGCTTCTGGCAAAACACAGTCGATGGCGGTGGGTCCAGTCTAATGCACGCTTGATTTATAGAAATGGAAGACCGGATTATATCATCGCAACTCAGAGACCGCTCACGTAAGCTAATGGTTTTGTGTTTTCATGAATCTTACCAGAAAATTTATAAACAATCTAAGGCAATTGAACCTATAACTAAAAATTAAAAGGTAAAAGAATATATCTAGAAAGAACAGGGCAAAGGTGAGAAATGTTGGAAAAACAGAAGTGACAAACTTCATTGAGAGTTAGTAGATAAAGCTAAAAGAATCCTACGCATCTTCCAATTTAGGGGGAGATGAAAAGTCCATGACATATTTTTTTTATTTATTTATTATTTATTATGTATACAATATTCTGTCTGTGTGTATGCCTTCAGGCCAGAAGAGGGCACCAGACCCCATTACAGATGGTTGTGAGCCACCATGTGGTTGCTGGGAATTGAACTCAGGACCTTTGGAAGAGCAGGCAATGCTCTTAACCACTGAGCCATCTCTCCAGCCCCCGACCATGACATATTTAAAAGAAAAACCTGAAAACTTTATGGTGTGCTCCCAGTGACCTGGGAACGCTGTGGTGTGCACCCAGTACACTGTGGTGTGTAGCCAGTGTGCTATGGTGTGCACTCAGTATGCTATGGTGTGCACCCAGTAATCTGGGAGTTTCTTACATATTCCAGAGAGGAATGTTTGGCGAAGTATTTGCACTGCAAGGACTTTTCTCACATGAGAATTGCTTTTCTAGGTATAGCCAGAGGTAGGAATCCTTTGACCAATAGAATTTATTAAAGAGACAACGTCTTGGAGCTAGAGGGCTCTACAGTCCTGTTCCTAGAGTTGCTGGTCCAGCTTCTTTGTCTGTCTCTGTCACCACAGCACCTTAGTTGTACTGTCGTTGTTAGCAGTTTTGAGCTGTGAAGGCATGTCTTTGCTTGTGTGTCTATTTTGTTCTCATCCACGATTGTCTAGGCTCTTCTTTGTTCTTTATGTTTCCACATGCACTTCAGAATTCACTGTAAATTCCCAACAACAGCAACAACAGCGAAACTGTTGGGATTTTGAAAGCATAGCTCTTTGGGGGAAGAATTAACATCTGTACATAGGTAGTCATCAACCCATGCCATAGTGAATGTTTATATTACCCATAAGAGTACATGGATGTCTTCTTCACACACCCATGTAACAAGCGGACCTCTGTCTTCATTAGTCTCTTCCAGGCTCAAGCCTTTCATTTTTTGATTTTTCTGTTGTTTTGTTTTCTATTTATGTCTCCTGGTTATTATTTTATTTGTGGTTTTTCAGTGTTTATCTATTTTTCCTGTGTAGCTTTAGCTATATTTACATAACACCAGTCATGAGATAAAGTCCGTGCCCTGTGCTACCTAGAACATTTTACTTATTTTTCTTCTCCTTTTAAAAATATTTTCCTTAAAACATGTATGATAAAACTAACGCCTGCAGACCTTCCTGCGCTCCCTTCTAGGGATGAGGAAGGAAGAGAGCATTTGCAGAAGAGGAACATGACGCTGCCCTTCATGTTTGCTACCGGCGAGGCCGTATTGTACGAGATCTCCAGCCCTTTCCCTCCCATGATGGACCCCTTACCAATACGTACCAAAAGTAGCACTGATGCGAAAGACTGGGCTCTGCAGTCAACCCTGAGTAAGGATTCCCTCCACCCCAGCTCCCTTATGAATGCCATGATCCAACAGGATGAGTCCATCTATCTCTGTCCTGCTTCGAGTACCCTCCCGCTAGACAGCCACTTTCTCAGCGACTCTACGAGCGAGTGCGGTGGCTGGCAAGACGGCATCGCAGCCATAGGAAGTGAGTCTGTGTTTAAACATGAGCAGATCGGACATGCTCAGGACATGAACCCCGCACTCTCTGGAGAACCCCCGGATATCTTTCCAGATCATAAAAACAACGACGACTTGTACAGCATCATGAGAAACCTAGGGATCGACTTTGACGACATCCGGCGCATGCAGAGTGATGAGTTCTTCAGGGCCGACCTCTCCAGTGAGGCTGACGTCAGAGACTTCGACATAACAGACGAAATCCTGACCTATGTGCAAGATTCTCTAAACAAGTCAACCTTGCTGAATTCAGCTAGCCAGCAGCAGCCTGCGACTCAGCACCTAAGCTGTATGCTGCAGGAGCGCCTGCATCTAGAGCAGCAGCAGCTGCAGCAGCAGCAGCAGCAGCACCAAGCTCAGGCCATGGAGCCCCAGCATCAGCTGGAGCAGATAGAGCCCCAGCAGCAGCTATGTCACCAGCTGGGTCCCGTGGCACTCCCCCAGCAAGAGCTGGGTCAGAAAGCCAAGCACATGCAAGTCAATGGCATGTTTGCAAGTTGGAACTCTGCCCCGCCTGTGCCTCTCAGCCGTCCTCAGCAGGAATTAAAGCATTATAATGTCTTTCCAGACTTGCCAGCGACTGTGGATGAGTTCTGCTACAAACCTGAGGTGGACGGTATGCCTTACACACAGAACTTTGCTCCCTGTAATCAGACTCTGTTACCATCGCATTCCGACTGTGCACCCTTGGACTTTCCGGGGAAGGGTTTTGAACCGTCCCTGCACCCCACTACAACTAGTTTAGAGGATTTTCTCACTTGTTTACAAGTTCCCGAAAACCAAAGGCCTGGGATCAATCCACAGTCAGCCATGGTCACCCCTCAGGCGTACTACGCCGGGGCCATGTCCATGTACCAGTGCCAGCCTGGGACTCAGCACACCCCTGGGGACCAGATGCAGTACAGCTCCGCAGTTCCAGGCTCCCAGGCATTTATAAACAAGGTAAGGGCGCTTAGAGCTGCGTAGACCTGTCAGGACTAAGTGTCTCCATGTTGCCTGTTACATTTACACATATTGTCAGAAGCCTTCTACGCAAGTAGTTTCAGAACTGCTTTTACTATAGTTACATTCACGTAACTAACTTCATTATAATTTGCTTAACATATTACAAATAAATTATTTTGAATACTTTTCTTAAAAATAGGTTGATGTTAGCATAATTTAGTAGCTGCTCTCCGTTGCCACACAAGGGTATATCATGCTCACACTAATAAGTTTCTGTTAGAGAATGTTAGTTTGTTTGAAAATGTACTGGTTCACTTCTAAGAATCTCTTGACTAACATTAAGTTCCTTACCCAGTTTGCTGTTGAGTGCGGCTTGATTCTCAGTCCTGACTGCTTCTTCTAGAATGTTAGTACATCTGTAGACTGCCCACTCTCATATTTGCCCATCCCTTTTTTAGCAGTTCTGAAAAGGAGACTAGTTTGGGTGTAAGAGTGCGGGCGTCTTAGTTAAGGTTGCTCTTGCTGGGATGAAATGCCATGAACAATAACACGGTGAGGAGAAAATGGTTGATCTCACACACAGGTCCGTATCACAGCTCACCATGAAAAACAGGAGGGGCACGTACTCACGTAGGGCAGAAAGCTGGAGGCCGGAGCTCATGCAGAGATCATGGAGGGGCACTTCTTACCAGCTTGCTTCCCATGGCTTGCTCAGCCTACTTTCTTATAGCACCCACACACTGGGCTGGGCCCTCCCACATCAATCACTAAGAAAATCCCCTGTAGGCTTCTGCCGACAGCCCGATCTCATGGAGGCATCTTCTCAGTCAAGGCTTTCTCCTCTCCAGTAACTTTAACCGAGTCAAGTTGACATCACACTCATCAGCACAACCAACTCTGTCAGCCTGATACACAAAGCATCACTTTTCGATTAGAACCTTTCTCATCTATTCCCAAAATGCCATGTTAATATCAACATCACAATATAAAACATAAATGACTTTAAAAGTCCCACGATCTTTACAAATTTGAACACATTAAAAGTTCAGTTTCTTTAAAATATCCAGTGTCTTTTAAAAATCTAAAATCTCTTTTAAAAGTTCAAAGTCATTAAACTGTGGGGTCCTATAAAAATCAAAATAACATTAAATACCTTCCGACCTCAAGAGAGAAATGCCAGGGCTCTGCCACAGCAGCATCAAAGCAAAACCAAACTCCAGCTCTATAAATAGCGCAGTGCCCAATGTCTGGGGCCCGATCACTTCTCCGGCTCCATCCTTGGCAGCGTAGCAGTTTTTCCTCTAAGATCCAGCAAGTTCCTCTCCATAGCTGCTGCTGTCCTTGGAAGCCATCCCATGCTACTGGCATCTCCACGGTGCTGGGGTCCTCTGATGCAGCTGGGCTGCACTGTCAGCGTAGCCTTTCGTGGACTCTCTTCATGGTGCCAAGCCTCCGCTGCTTCCCATGACCCCTTCATGCCTTCAGACCCAGAACCTAGCCTACGAGGTTTGGCTGTCAGCACAAGGTGCACCCTTGGCTGCCTCTGGAACACAGCTTCTCTGTGCTCTCAGGAAGCACTTCCCAGAAGAGTCAACTCAACCATACTGATCTCTTCTTAATCACATCTAATTCTCAGCTCTAGCTGGCCTGCTGTCCTATCTTTCGGGGTCATTTTCTCAATTGAGGTTTCCTCCTTTCTGATGTGTCTAACTTGTATCAAGCTGATGCAAAACTAGCCAACACAGCAAGCGAGCATTTTCCATTTTGTAACTCGCAGAAAAACTAATTAAACATGTATTACAAATGAAGTCATTAAAATCATACCCATAGTGTAACAGTATAGGAACAGCAAGAGACATTTAGAAACCCAGAACTGAGCAAGAGTCCTGGTCTCTGAAATGCAGTGGAGAAGTTCTGGATATCATCAGCTCGCTGACTCCGGGTCCCTGATTGGAGGGACGGCAGGACAGAATAGCCCTCTGGTACCCTGTCACAGGATTCCATTCAGGTCCCAAGGCAGACGAAGCGAACCATTGTTACAGTCTCTGTGCTGTCTTTATCTTAACTCATAGGATTAAGGGGGAAACCTGATTTTCTCAGTGTGTGTGAGCATTTCTCTGTATGACTTGAACGGTGAAGGGTTAGGCCCCGAGCATCAGTAAAAGGGCTGTAAGTGTAACGACACACAGATGGAAGGGTCTAGAATATGTTTTTAAGGTGTTTAGAGGCTTGTAACAAGTGGCTCTGCTGTTTTTGTTCTCAGTTTCAGAATCAGGGAGTGTTAAATGAGACCTACCCGTCCGAACTAAACAGCATCGGTCACACCCAGCCCGCTCCTCATCTTCAGCACCCAGCAGACTCCAGGTCTTTCCCTGATGTCACCCCCAGTGGATTCCTATAGCTTCAAGCCCAGGAACAAGATACTGGAACAGTCCACATTGGGCTTCAGCACTCTTTTTTCCAAAGCAGGTTTTAATCTCTGTGTTTAGAAAAGGAGTTTAAAAAACGTTATCAGTCACCTATAAAATGGGAAGCTCCGAGGGAGTCTAGGAAGAGACCCCATGCATTTACAAAGCTTTAACACCTCAGGGTGCACAGTGCTCACCGCAGAGAACTTCAGGGTTCTGGAAAGTTGGACTTCTCTGCTCAATGACTTCAGCCAGAAAAACAGCGGGTACTTTGAGCTTTGGACTTCAGGATTCTTGTTAGTACACCAAATACTGAGTTACAAGACTGATTGATTTTCTATATTTTTAACCTCTGTTTTTGTCTTGGATGTTAAAATAAATGGTTTGGTGCTTTTATCAAAAGAAAAATCTCAATGTTTTCCTTCTACACTGTTAATATAAGTGCCTCACATGTTTTTCTGTCTACCTGTAACACAGTAGGGTGTGTATTTTATACAAAATATTCTTGATCTTTTTTTGAATTACTATTCTTTCTGCGCACAAATATTACCGGCATTTCTTAAAGCCCATCCTTTTTTATTAATTCAGGCATGTGTTTGCTGCACTACTTGTGCCCTTTCTTCAGATGAAGGGCAATGATGACTGAGAGATGACTATTTATTATGTAATATACTTGCTTCTGGACTTTTGATGTTTCTCTGTGCCTTATGTTGCAAGATTTGAAAATAACATGTTACCAAACTTATTTAATTATTACGTAAATGTTGAGACGGTAGCACTTACATGTTAACAGTGTTTTCCGAGGCGTGGCATTCTGAGAATGCTACCGTTGGCTTTCACGGAAACCTCTGTAAAGATAAGAAAATGCCACCGTGTGAAATGCTCATGACAGCCGCACTCCCTAGGCTGCCCCGAAGGGAAGCGGAATTTGTCTAGCTCCTTTGTTAAATTAAGTAAAGCACTCATTTCATGACTTATAAGTTGTCTTTAAAAGCTATGTTGGGTCTGCAGTCCTTTTTGTTATATCGACTTTATAAATTTTCACTTCTTACACTAGTGAAAGGTATTAGTTTTTCTCATATTTGAGGAGTGTTAAGGTTGAAGATACCATGTTTGGTGCAAGGTGTTTTAATGAATGAAATGAAATGGTGCATTGTATAAATGTAACGAACAAATATTCTGTAAAATATTTTCAGTTTTCATTGAAGACTAGTCCTTACCTCATACGCATATTCTTCAGTGTATCGTGTTAAGACATCAAATGATGAACTGAGGCTTCTGAGCTGGTGTTGAGATAAAGATAATTTGCTCGCCTCCATGCATTGTTTATATGGTGTAACCTTTGCTCCCAATATGACAGATTCATCCTGCTACCAAATAACCCAACTGTTGTCAGTTGGGTTAAAGAAAAGAAAAATGCTAATGTCTGTCCTTGTTTTTGTCATTTACTTAGCTATAATAATATATAAGGACATGGACCCATTTTTCACGTATTGTATAAAAGTATGATGAGATCCCAAACTTAGGTGTGCTATTAAAATCCAGCAGTGGTCCCCAGTCTCCAGGGCTCGACCTCTCTGGGGTCAGACAACTCTTTCACAGGCATCGCCAAAGACCATCAGAAAACACAGATACTTGCATTGTGATTCATAACAGGAGCAAGATTACAGTTATGAAGCAGCAAGGAAAATAAATTTATGGATTAAAATAAATAAATTTATGGTTGGGGAGGTCACCACAACATGAGGAACTGAATTAGGTCACAGAATTAGGAAGGTTGAGAACCGCTAAAATACAGGAGCTCTGATTTTTTCCTTTAGAAAATTAATGCATGTAAACATGGCTTCAGGCAAAAAGTGATGCCTCAATTCTATGCATTTTCAGCCAAATCTCTGAATCTTAGGATTAAGCATTGACAAACAACCATCTGAAACATTTCACAATTTGCTTCAAGCATGGGCTATCACTAAGGATGTAGACCAGTGATCTAGATTAATATTCCATTTTCATGTTTAAATTTTTTATTAAAAGTTGTCATAGAAACCATTTTGTCAGTCTCTTCAACATGTTAACAAACGGTCAGTTAAACAATACTTTGGACATTGTAAGCATGGTGGCATTTAATTACACACTTATAAAACGGAAAGTTGTCAAAGCAATATTGTGTATGTTTACCCATTTAAAATAACTCAAACATCTGAGAATAATAAAATCCCATTAAACTGAATGAGCATTTGTCTGTATTGCTAAATGCCAAACAGAAGGAGTGTTTAAAGCAGAGCTGGACTGAGGGGTTAATGTCTCAGTGAAATTCACACCTAAGGCTGTGTGGACGTGTGACTGGAGTTCCTACACACCCGAACACTTGCCAGTATGCCATTGTATTAGCCTTTCAATTGTCACTATGCACAAGCTATCTGGTTTCAGTGTGGATAGATTTTAGGTTTACATGGCTTCATTATTGCTGACATACGCTATGCATAGATTGTTGTGTAAAGTATGATTTATAATGTCCTTAAATGCCAAAGAAAGTGTAAACAGTGATATATGATAATAAAATAACCACCACGTATGAATGATGTTTTCATGCACGTTCTTCTTTCTGTCTGCGTGAAGGAAGCAGGTCCCTGTAGCCTCACAGGATCGCTTGGTGGAGGTAGCCTTTGCGGGAGGTAAAGTCATTTGAATTTGATGTGAGCAACTTCAAGCTGAGAAGTGACATCCCCGACCACTAGTGTGTTATGTTGGTGGCCACGCATGACAGCGAAGTTCGGCTATCACTCTGTGATGTGATGTGTGCTATCATCACGTTTCTTACTGTTTATCACAGCATAATCTACATGGCGATAATCTTTCTGGTCTCAGCTCACACACTCAGGTCATTGGCTTCCTTAACCGTGAATGATCCAGCTTACCACGTCTCACCAAGCCTGCTCACCCAAAGGTGTTGGCCACGCCAGGGACCTGGGTGGTAGTTATGATTCCTGTCTTACATTTTGCAGGTGACCTTGCTTCCAGTTTCACTCATAATATCTGTAGCCCCACCCACTGTTTCCCTATACCTTCATCTCTTCCACACGGCCAGTACATAGGAGGAGAGGTTCCTAGACCTGACCTTGTTTTTCTATTCTTTGGAGTTAAAAATAAGCTTCTATGCTTTCTGGCTTTAACCTCCTGACTTCTGTAGATCTCCCTGTGGACAGCTTGCCATCCTGCTTGGGAAAGAAGAAGGTTGGAGAGTTAGAGGGGAGGGAGAAGAGAGGAGAGCAGGAAGTTAGAAGACACTTTGCTGATGCTATTAAAGATGAAATGCCAAAGAATTCAAAAGGGTTGAAGAAGCTAGAAAAGGTAACTCCCCTGGTGCTTCTGGAAGTATCCCAGCCTTGTTGACGCCTTCATTTCAGAGCTAGCAACCTGTGGGCCATGACCCCTTTGTTCACGTATCAGATATTCACAGTTTATAACAGCTAAGTTATAGTTATGAAATAGTGACAATAATACGGCTGTGGGCCATCATGGGAGGCGCTGTATTAAAACGGCTTACACTGGGAAGGCTGTGAACACTGCTCTCGTTCTGTTAAGAGAGCATTTGTATTGTCCTAAACCAGTGGATGCAGTCATTCACTGTAGTAGCCACTAGAAACCAACACAAGTGGTCCAGATTTTAAGGAATGGTGCAGTTGGGATGGAAACGTCTCCATGTCCTTCATTTCTGTAGAAAGGCTTGTTCTGTGCGTTCTCCCAGGCTGCAGGAATGCTGCTGTTTCAGAGAACAGCCAAGGAGGATTGGCAATACTCCTCCCCTTCTTCCGGTCCCTACAGACCAAGAAAAGAGATTATACCTTAGGAATGAGACCCGTGGTGGCTGGGAGGCTCCAGCAAGGACCTGTGGGAGAGCACGCTGTGGCCTTGCCTTCTCCAGATGTTTGCCTCCTGTTGGGAGTCAGGAAATGCATCACTCACAGTCACACATATGGTTCTAAGGCAGGGTCTTAACAGTGTCTGCTTAATGCAAATCACCATACAAATTGGCCCCGACTCCCAGAAGGAAAATGGCCGTCCTGAAGTTGGTTAGACGTTTATGCCCAAATTGCCATTTATACATCTTCAAGGAGTTTTCTGCATCTAAAATTAACACAGCTATTTGCAGGGTAATTTTGCCACCCCACAACTAAAGTGCTTGCGTATGAAAAAAGGGGTTTGCTTGTTTCAGACCTCCATCAGAATATTATCACCTCGTGGAGTCCAAGGGAAGCCCATTAAACGGGGACAAGTCACAAAGCTGTTAAAATACTGTCCTTTTATACATACCGCACCAGATGGTAATCCGGTGCTTGATTTGCACACAAATTCCAACTCCAGTATTAGAACTGATTCGATTATTAGACAATAAAAAGGTCAGTTTATAATCCTGTCGTTTTCTCTGGAGTGTCTCGAAAACGCATTTGACTGTGGGTAGCAGAACCAGAAAAAGCTAAACCTTGAATGGGGGTTTTGCTTTATTTCAGCATGCTTTTCTGAGGTGGGACTCAGTGATATCTGAGACACCGGATTAAATACATGCCTAACTCAGGCCAAGACAGTTTTCCTCAAGGATTTCACACTGGATCCAACTCAGCTTATTCTTGAATCTATTGAATAATTATCCTTCTGTCTAATGGCATTAAGGCTAAAATATAAGCTGATGTTTAACTGAAACGCTCTTTTTAAAACATAGAAGCGTATTATAAACATTTTAGAATGATTCGGCCTTTGTGCCAAGTTTCAGGTTTCTCTCCCTGATTTAAAAATGTGTGAGTTAAGGATAACCCACAGGACACTGAAAGGCAGTTTGCTCTTTCCTACGTTCATCTAGAAACTGATACATGTCTTGGCACAAAGAGACTCGCCAAATTCCTCTGTGTGGACCAATAAAAAGACCTTAACTGCAAGAAGGACATTTAGAGAGACCTAGGAAATTCTCAGTTAAAATAAAAGTGTTGGAATGTTTGCATAATAGACTCTTGATTTCCCTTGAATTAGCAAACTGCTTGTAAAACATCCCCAAGACTAGGGGAGCATCCCCAAAATAAAGGACACAAAGAATGTGGGAGCTGGGAGATGGGGAGGTATGGAAAAGTGCTGTGGATCTCACGAATTTCTCCACAATGAAGAGGCCATCTCTGCGATTCGCTCTCCAGAGGAAGAGGGGGAAATGCAGGTCCCTCCTCAGTGCTCCAGCTGTTCTGAGCTCCTTTAATGCCCAGCCCTTTGTGGCCAGCCCTTTTGTTTCCAGCTGATCTTACTTCCAGGCTTTCTGCAGACTAGATTCCTGCTTGGTGGCTAATTTATAAACAATGTTCATGCAACTAGGCTGAGAATGAATGCTCACATGAAGAGTAGATTTGCGTACCAAGGGACGGGCACCCATCATTGGAAGCAGATTCCTTCCCATTTGGAGGTGGAATTGCAAAAGAATTAAGTGATTGTTAATTAACATAGATTAGCTGGCATATGTGATTAGTGTGTGTTAATTAATATATCTATTGGCCAGAGACTCTTTGTTTCTCACGTTATTCCCAATAATTATAGGTTAACCCAAGAAGAAACCACGAGTCCCAAGGAGCTAGGAAAGGTCTTAGTACTCCTTTCCTCCTCCTCCTCCTCCTCCTCCTCCTCCTCCTCCTCCTCCTCCTCCTCCTCCTCCTCCTC